GCTATGGAATCATAGAAGTTGTACTTTTCCAAGGTCTTTTGCCTTCTATGCCAAAGAATGTTGGTAACTCATCTAACTACAACTCCCAGGATTCCAAGCACTGAGCTATGGCAATTAATTTAATTGATGTTTTAATAATTCATGCTTTAATTATTTGCTTTTTAATCGTAATTGTTTATTTGACACTTGCATGTATTGCATCGAGGTGTTGCCTGTTGTATGGCCACCTTGAGTCCTCTCCAGAGTGAGAAAGATGGGATATAAATATGGTAAATAAGTAAAAGTGGTATCAAGCTTCATTAATTCTATAGTGTATATGCACTCTCAGTTATGCAATCAACTGGAGCACATATCCTCTGTAGAGAAAATGTCCTCTCAGTTCAGGCTGGCTCCTATAGGAAGTATTATTAAGGGTATTACCATATTTCCACAAAAATAAGATATCTTATATTCATTTTTACTCCAAAAGACGCATTAGGGCTTATTTTCAGGGGATGTCTTTTTATTTATGTACAACAATCTATATTTATTCATGTACAACAGTCTACATTTGTTCAAACACAATAATGTCTTCTTCAGGAACATGGTCTTAATATTATGTCAATAATATTATTTATTTATATTTAATGATATATTATTATTATTATTATTATTATTATTATTATTTTATAATCCAATATATCAATTGTGTGTTCCAGTGGACATACTATTGCTAAATGCATCTGTCTGGCTGACAGTTATAACTGGGGCTTATTTTTGAGGTAGAACTTATATTATGAGTAGCCTGAAAAATCATGATACAACTTATTTTTCGGTTAGGTCTTATTTTTGGGGAATCAGTGTAGGATGCCACTTTATTCAGAAATAAGAGCCAGAACTGAGACTCACTAGATAATGACAATGCTGAGAAAGGGCAAATAAGGAGGTGCAGACCAAAACATTTAGAGGGCCATAGATTCCCTACTTCTGTTACAAGGAGCTATATGTCTGGAGAAGTCAGGATTAGATATGCATGTAAAAGAACTGAATATATTTTCTTGAACAAAGCACATGCTCAAAGACATGCTAATGTTTATTTGGCATGCACTCAAAGACTAGGAATGCCAATCTCCGCTTATTTCATTTTTAATGCCCAAACTTAGAATTTTGAAACTTTTCTTGCTGGAGGGCAATATTGCAACAAAAAAAATTGCAATGTTTTATTTTTTTAAAATTTTCAGGACCTTTAGTGAAAATTAGTATACATAAAACCTCACTACCTCTGAGGATGCTTGCCATAGATGCAGGCGAAACGTCAGGAGAGAATGCCTCTAGACCATGGCCATATAGCCCGAAAAAAACTACAACAACCCAATAGCAAAGAAGGCAATGTCTGTTGCAAAAAATGCACCAGAACAAAGTGTTGTTCAGTGAGGTTTTTTCTCTGCATAAATGAATTTTCAGTACAGAATGTCACAAAATGTTTTTTTTAATTGTGTGGCAGTTGACCATTTTCTTGTTTCAGAGACATACTTTCTTTGTGAGAATGAGAATGCTTCTCGCATCCCAATTAAAGATACTTTACCAATCAGAAGTCATTTCCCTCTTTAATAGATGGTATATAAAAAAAGATCGAATGACTTGTAGATGGAAGGCAATAATGTTATTTGAGCCGCCCAATCCCTCTAAAAATCTATGAATGAGGTGTCCAGAGTATATTCTAATCCCCTGTACGCCAACGTTTTGCCTGTGACTGTGGTTGAAATCCTTGAATTTCTAGCCAAAGTAGTCCTTAAGCCTGCCCATCCCAGTATCCCTTTAATTTTCTTAGATATTACTAACACTGCTTTTGTACCAATCAAATGTTAACACATCCTGCCAAATTTCTTTGCCGCAGAAGAACCAGGCAAAATTGGAGAAGATATATGATTCAGAACTGATTTGTAAGACATGTTCATTTGATTCTATGAAATATTGTGCCTCTAGAAAGAAAAAGTATGTTCTTTGAAATATTTCCAATTATCAATGAAATAATGTGTGCTGTTCTTTTGCAGGCTGAAAGCTTTGCTACAAATGGAAACCATCATACAGAGGTAAGAAGTTTCTTGTTGTTGCTATATTTTAACAAGTTGTTCCTTTAATTAACTCTAGCCCGCAGGTGTTAAAAAATAGCTATTTATATGTATTGTTGTATACTTTTGAATCAATTCTGATCTATAGTGAGCCTGAGGTGACACTATCACAGGATTTTCTTGATAGAGTTTGTTCAGAAGGTGTTTGTCCTTGCCTTCCTCTGAGTCTGAGGGTGCATCCTCACAGCTCGCAAAATGCACAAGCTCCCACGCTTCTACCTGAGGCGTCCAGAGCAGGAAAACCCTGTTTTGAGCTGAATTAATTTGATTCCTGGAAAGACCTGGGTCTTTCAGAAGACCTAATTCTTTCCAGCTGTGGGCCCTGTGGGTTGGTGTTGTGCCCAATCCACACAGCTATCTCAAGATTTCTAGGCTTCTAGAGCCCAAAAAACCCAAGACAGCCCCATCCTCTCTTCAAAAACCCTTTTAAAGCCTTTAAAAGTAAAAAAAAATATATACTTACCCGACTGCCATTGCTCCTTGCCCCCCTTCTCATGGCACGTCATTTCAATGCACCAGGAGAGGGCCAGCGGAAGGGCCAGCTGGGTAAGCAATTTTTACTTTGAAGGCTTTTCTGAGGGCGGGAGTGCCTTGTTGGTGTTAGGGTGCCTTGCTGGAACATCTGTCAGGGCATCTGAACACCACCACCCAACACAACACAACTTCCATTAACGTGGGGCTATGGCTGCATTAAGATAAACTTCCCCCACTTTACCACAGATTAGCCCAGGTAAATGCCACCCTGGTCTCCAGTGTCCTTGCTCAACAGCCAAACCGTGCTGGCTCATCTTTCACACTTTAAAATGATCAGACTTCAAACGCATTTGCCTAGCGGCAGAGGCCCAACTCATTTCCTTGGTAATTTACATTGGCATTTTAAAAATACTTTGGCATTTGTTCCACAAGCCACTTAGGCTGCAATTTTTTGCACATTTATTTGGAAATAAACCCATTGAATTCAGCAAGCCTGACTTCTAAGAAGATGCACATGTGAGATTGTACTGTGATTACATGTGTCTAAAACTAAAATGCAGGCAGTTCTTCACATTTGCAGGTTGAACTTTTGGGGATTTTTTATTTGCAGATTTCATTAATGCTTATTTGAATGAACACAAGCCAAGGACACATTAGCCAAAGTTACAGGTTGCTCCAAATTCTCCCTGAGAATCCAGAGCAGACCACAGCTTTGGGCCCATGTAAACAATTGGGCTGGTTAAAAAATGGAGCTGGGTGCAACTGTTTATAAAGCTATATTGTATTCCCTGGGCATTCACGATTCAGGGCCATGCAATGGCACTCATCATCCCCCCCCCCCCCCCCCCCCCCCCCCGTTCTCCTCGTTGTGATGGCCAATGCGCACAACATGGTTCAGATTGGTTCTTTGTTGCCTGGATTGACACTGGCCAGAGGGACAAGTGATTGAAGAAGGGAGGGAACCATTTTTCTTACCCCCTCACACATCGCTTTGGCATCCTGGATGACATCACTCAAGCAACAAATGACCAACACAAGCCATTCAGTGCCTCCTGGATCCTGTGGCGGGAATGAGGAGATATGGGAAGGGTGACCTGCTGAGGTGCCAAACTGGGTTTGGTACTGCTGAACAGTTAGGACTCCTTCTCACCTCTGCAGCAGCCATGTTAGTGGCAGTGTAAACCATTCTAGGTCTGATTGGCATTTACCATTCTAGGACAGCCCCAGGATAAGTGGTTAGTATAGATCTGCCCTAGGTCCTCCACCAAGCTTTCATAAAGCTGACCACAGAGTTGCAATGGAGGACCTAGAGATTCCTACAGAGTTGTCATCTCTGGTTAAAACAATAGTTTTTTTAAAAAATTACAGCCTTTCCACTTTTGTGGGGGTCCTGTACCCTTAAACTCTACAAAGGTGGGAAGCCTACTGTAATATTTCAACCATAACAACTTGTATAAACTAGCAAGAGGGTTTTATTTTCTTTTGTTTTTGCAGGGGGGATCACATGGTGGTAGCAACCAATATGGACAGGTACAATTTACAATATTTCATATATCTGGAAAGATGAAAAGATTTTTTTTAAATGAAATACTTGTTCTTATTTCTGCTTGTGACTGTATAACATTTTAAAAATGTGGATATCTTAAGACAACATAGCATGGAAACGTTTTGGTGTCTGACTGATCAAATCTGTTTTCTATTCAGGGTGGATTTTATGGTGCAGGCAGCCAACATGGACAGGTAAAACTAATTTATAAAATAAAGTGATTTTATAGATTTATTTATTTGTTACTAAGCTGACTTTAAGTGAAAGACATCCAGGAGGGGGCACACACAGTGAGCCACCCCCAAAAAGTCATCTCTGAAAGTTGTCTTTGTAGAAGATGCTGCAGGCAGGTAGCATGTATAGTCATGTACCCTCAGGTCATTTTTTTACTTATGGCAACCCTATTCACTGGGTTTCCTTGGCAAGATTTGTTTGTAGTAGGTTTATCTTTGCTGTCTTCTAAGGCTGAGATAATGTGATTAGTCCATAGTTACCCAGTGAGCTTTCATGGTGAGCAGAGATTTGAACCCTGGTTTCCAGTATCCTAGTTCAACATTTCATCCACTACATCACACTGGTGTTCTGGAGAAGGTATACCACAGTCACCTCCAGTATAGAAAGATATAGAAAAATAAAGAAGGTTTAAAGCTTGCTTTGCTCTTAAACATAACTGTGATTTCGGAAATATTCGTTGATGAATATTGTTTCAAATAATAAACATTTTCTGCACAGGGATCATATGGTGGTGGCCCATATGAACAGGTAAGACCCTTTTAATATACAGTATATAAATTAAATATAAACTATTAATGTTTATATATTTCTTTGGAATAATAATAATTATTATTAATAACTTTATTTTATACCCCACTTCCATCTCCCCAAAGGGACTTGAGGCAGCTTACACATGGGACAAAATGTATTTATTTACAGTATTTATATTCCACCCCTCTCACCCCGAAGGGAACTCATGGCGATTCACAGAACACATATATGGCAAACATTCAATACCGATTATACACTGACAAGAAAGTCAACAGATAGAGGTATATATATATAGGCTTTCCCCATCTTTCAGCATCTTTCGAGGCTGTACTCAGTTCCAGCCACAGGGGGGTGCTGTCGCTCCATCTCCTTGCTGAAGAGTTTTCTTTGTAAAGTTTCCTCCTTTTTCTGATTGAAACGCCATGCCTAAAATACTTCCCCGTTTTAATGTGGTTCCTATTTATCTACTCATATTGTTGTTTCGATCTGTTAGGTGGGTGGGGAGCTGGGCTGAAGGTCAGGAGCTCATCTTGACCCAGCTTTGAACTGTCAACCTTTTGATTTGCAAGATTTATTGCAGCTGCAGCTGGTGATTAACCTGCTGTGCTAAAGCTGGCCCTAATGTTTCAGCTGTCCACAGAAGATCAAAGCAAAAACAATCAATGAAAAACAAAAATACGATCAAAATAAAACATTACAAAACATAACAATTAGATAAAACACAATTAAATAAAACATCGGGGTATAAAGACAGCAACCTTAAAACTCACTCAGACAACACACAACAAAAACCAATAGCCGGAAATACTAAGATAGGCATGATCAGGCTATAAAAAGGAGCGGGTATGGGATAGCCTGAAGAATAGAAGGCTTAGAGGAGATATGATAGCCATGTATAAATATGTGAGAGGAAGCCACAGGGAGGAGGGAGCAAGCTTGTTTTCTGCTTCCTTGGAGACTAGGACGCAGAACAACGGCTTCAAACTACAAGAGAGGAGATTCCATCTGAACATGAGGAAGAACTTCCTGACTGTAAGAGCCGTTCAGCAGTGGAACTCTCTGCCCCGGAGTGTGGTGGAGGCTCCTTCTTTGGAAGCTTTTAAACAGAGGCTGGATGGCCATCTGTCAGGAGTGATTTGAATGCAACATTCCTGCTTCTTGGCAGGGGGTTGGACTGGATGGCCCATGAGGTCTCTTCCAACTCTTTGATTCTATTACTCAGTCTTACACTTGTTAAAATATTTTTTTCCTGCTAAATTTATACATTTAATGTACTTTAAAAAAATAATCTCAGGTGGGTGGATAAGGGCAAGATGGTGCTTTAGTTTTCTGTGTGCACTGTTGCTTTTACAAATGAGCAGCAGTAAAAGACATGGTTTTCCAACTTTAGTCTGCATACTTCCAGATGGTGCCGCTGTTCACACTGAAAATGTAATGAGTTACCTGTCCAGTTCAGTGCTTATAAATTCAAAGGATGCCTACTTAACACCTTCCCTCAATGCTATAGATTGATAGGATGGAATAATTAAAGCCCACAGAGAAAGAGACATACAGCTAAAACATTTTTCTGGGGTTTTTTTTGTTTGTTTTTTTACTATTTTGCATCAGCCCCCTTTTGAAAAGACAATTGATTTTTTTTAAAAATAACTATCTTCATTCTTTACAGGATGAATCATATATTGCATATGCAAACAACCGGGTAAGAAAGTTGTCCTTTTGGAAGAATCTTCTTCCCCCTGTTTTCTATTAGCCAAATCTTTAAGGGTGATCAAAAATGCTCCATTACTGTTCCTTTTTTAAAATGCTTCCTCTTTTATATTTAAACCTTCCCCCTTAACTGCCATAGTTTTTGACCTTTTTCAACTTTTCCCAGAGAAGTGTAATTTAGAGAAACTTCTCGACGTGAGTGGGAGGGGAGGGGAATATAAGATGTATGTGAAAAGCGTGTACATTTCATTTGACTTTTTACCATAAAGACCAAACTAACCTTTGATATGTTTACAGAGAGAATGTGTTTGCCCTGGTGCACAGGTAACTATTATTCTTTACTAATATGGCATTCATTGTCTTCTGAGTTCCGATCCTTAGCGTTTTGGTCCTGTCAATTCACAAGATATCAGTTCACCCTGCCATAGGCTGACATTCGCATTCATTGTCATAGCAGTGCTTTAGTCCCACTTTGGCCTCAACCTTATCACACAGAAACTATTCAGTAAATCAGTTTGGGTGTGGATATCTCATAATGCTTTCTTCCATGAAGATTCATTACACCATGTCACAAAAATTGAAAAAAAAATCTGTTCCTGGTTTGAAAGTGTTATTTCCTGTTTAATTGTATGGTACTTACTTTGAAAGTCGTTGTTATATTCCAGAAACTTTGTTTTTGTGGCTTGGTTGAGACTTTATGAGATAGTCATTAAAAAATGTGCTGCAGGATGTCCTGCAAAAACAAAGTTTTTGAGGTTTAATACACTTTTTCCATGCTTTTATGATAGAATCCATTAGGAACTAACACTTATAACCCAGGAACAAAAATTGTGTAACATAGTAGGCATGGGCAATCCATGTTTCTAAAGGACTTACAAAACTAGAGGGCGCTAGTGCTTTGCTTCTAAAGTTCTGGTGGTGAAAATTTCAGAACTCTAACAAAACTTTCAAAATTTCATTATAAACGGCAGTTCCTAATTTGTTCTGTCATAAAAATTGCCAATAATGAAATAATAATGTAATTTTGAAAGTTTTGTTAGAGTTCTGAAATTTTCACCATCAGAACTTTAGCAACACTGTAGAAGCAAAGAACCAGTGCCCTCTAGTTTTGTAAGTACTTTAGAACCATGGATTGCCCATGCCTATTACATTGTATTAGAGGATGTGGACAGGGTGTCCTTCACTTAAGGATTCCCTAGAAAGAGAAGTCCTAGACCACTTCTGGTGCATCGGTGGGGAGAATGGCCTTTGTAGTATGCTTGTAGGTGGTTCAGCGGGTTAAACTGCTGAGTAGATAAACTTGTTGACTGAAAAGGTCGGCGGTTTGAATCCAGGGAGAAGAGTGAGCGCCCGCTGTTAGGCCCAGCTTCTGCCAACCTAGCAGTTTGAAAACATGCAAATGTGAGTGTCAGTGGGAAGGTAACAGCACTCCATGTGGTCATGCTGACCACATGACCTTGGAGGTGTCTACAGACAACGCAGACTCTTCAGCTTAGAAATGGAGATGAGCACCACCCCCCAGATTCGGACTCTACTAGACTTAATGTCAGGGGAAAACCTTTACCTTTACTAGTATGTTAGAACCCCCCTTAATCCCCTTTTCTAGTTTGTGTTTTTTGTTTGGGTTGTTTTAGGTTTTTTCGGGCTATATGGCCATGGTCTAGAGACCTTGGCCATATAGCCCGAAAAACCTACAACAACCCAGTGATTCCGGCCATGAAAGCCTTCGACAATACATGTTTTTTGTTTGTTTACTCTTATATCATCATACGGTATTCTCAATTCACTTCTGACATGATAAATAAATCGCAACCTTATAGCACCTCTTACGGTCTTATTGTCATAGCGCTGTTATAGTTACAACTTTGAAAAAAATACATGGATCAATCAGAGAGCAAGAGGAGGGATATAGGAGTCAATACTGACACCATTAATGCAGATTTTTTTAAAAGCAAAGGCTGCTCTTAAAGTGCAAATGTAGCAAGGATGTGATAGAGAGTGTTAACAATCTGTTCTCATGAAACTGGGGTGGATTTCAAATACAATAACAGAGCATGAAAGAATGATGTGATTATACTCCTGGAGAGACAATAGCTTCATCTATAATGCCATAGCATGCAGTGTAAATGGGGACAGTGTTAGGTCTCAAGTATATCTTGATGCACTCCACATTTCTCCCCGTGGAAACACAATTAATGCCAATCAGTTGAAAGGGTTCAGCTTGCTCATGTAGCTCTACACACATTTTACTGGGAGGATTAGATGGAATTTATACTGATAATAACATTGTGCAAGTTGCAATAAGATCTACAGTGATATACATATTAAATAAATTATGTGTTGTGACTAAATACAGACTTATTTAAGATTTTGAAATTCTGATTACTATTATGGTGAGCTTTGTTCTCTTCCTGCAGAAGTTGAGGTTGTATTACAGATATCTTCTCATTCTGCTACTGTTGTCTTTCTTTTAGGGGCCCTTCCACACAACTAGAATATCCCAGAATATCCACAACATCTGTTTTGAACTGGATTATCTGAGTCCACACTGTCACATAATCCAGTTCAATGTGGATTTTATACAGCTGTGTGGAAGGGGCCTAAAGTGGAAAAAAAATCTTGGAGCACAAAAGAAACTGACAGTAAATGAAAACAAATAATTAACATACTGAGCAGGATTTCATATGGTCTCTCTTTCCTACAAGGAAAAAACTTTGCTAAATGGAATTTACTTGTGTGACATTGTAAAAGGTGAATTCAGCAACGGTCAATATGGCCAAGTAGAAACACTTTTTGCATATTTAACACATTATTCATCCATATCATAGCATGATATAATATACAGAGAGATATATGAAAGAAAAGAAATATCTTCATTAATATTTTCATTCATGTATTTCTTTTAAATTAACGACCGTATTTTTATACAGGGTGGACAGAGAGGATCATATGGCAGAGGCAGCCAATATGGACAGGTAAGAATTGTTTTTTAAAAAGGAAAATAAATCCCATTTCTTTGTTCTGTTCTTTTGGTGTTGAACACTGACATATATTATTGCTGTAGAGTAAATTTTATTAGTGGTAAATGATGTGGCAGACCGTACATGAAAGATAAATATTCCAGCTCTTGGACTAAGTGGTCCAGCATCCCCTAATAACCAATAATAAAATTGGTCCCCTAAATAACAAATTCTACCTAGACTATACCCTTTAATGAATAATTTCACTATTGTGGCTATATTGAGATCCTAGACCTGGATGCAACACCTCCAGGGTAAGGTTGATGGAAAGGTTCATATGAAGGTTTATATAACGCAGAAGCAAACAAACAAAATTAAGGTGCAGAAGCACGACCCATTCCCCACCAATAGCAATCAGTGCTAGCAGATTACTATCAAAAGAAAATTCACTATTCCAGTCTGTTCCCAGTCTTCATATCTTTTCGGAAACTCAAGCTGTCAAGCTAATGCAAAAAGTAATTAACAATGTTACTGATATGAAGTGATGCTTTCTGTATTAGTGGACAGCTGTTAACATTTGGCCATTATGCTAACAAGGGCTCCAAACCCATCTGCTGGCTGGCAGAGGCCCAACTCACCGCCTTAATAACTTCCATTGCCATTAAAAGAATACTTTGGCATCGTTCCACAAGCCACTTAGGCTGCAATCTTCTGTACATTTATTGGGAAATAAGCCCACTGGATTCAGCAAGTCTCACTACCAAGTACACAAGATTGTGTTGTAATTACATCTGTCTAAATCTAAAATACAGTTGGCCCACCATATTTGCTGGTTGAACTTTTACAGATTTGATTAGTTGCTGACTTGTTTATTATGGTCTCTCTAAAAATCTCTAAGGTTGGATCTACACTGCCATATAATGCAGTTTCAGAATGCAAATTAACTGTGTTCAACTGGGTTATATGACAATGTAGATCAGGCATGGGCAAACTTCAGCCTTCCAGGTGTTTTGGACTTCAACTCTCACAATTCCTAACAGCTTACCATCTGTTTGGAATTGTGGGAGTTGAAGTCCAAAACACCTGGAGGGTGCCCATGCCTGGTGTAGTCTAATATAATATAATATAATATAATATAATATAATTCAATTCAATCCAATGCAGCTAATATGCATTCTGAAATTGCATTATATTTCAGTGTAAATCCAGCTTGTCTCCTTCGCAGCAAATCGACCACAGTGTTGTACTGGAGGACCTAGAGCAGAGTTTTCCAAATATTTCGTATTGGTGACACACTTGCATCATTTTATGACACATTTATTCAGTTTTACTAATACATTGAAGCTTAAATCAACCCCTTATAAGAGATGCAGATGCATACTTCTGTTGTAATAACGAAATGTATGGCGACATAACTTATCTCAGAAAAAACCTTTGATTTATATTTGTAAATGTCAATTTTTTTTAAAATTATTTTTTTTGTCGTGTCAGGAGCAACTTGAGAAACTGCAAGTCGCTTCTGGTGTGACAGAATTGGCCATCTGCAAGGGCGTTGCCCAGGGGACGCCCGGATGTTTTTACCATCCTTGTGGGAGGCTTCTCTCATGTCCCCGCATGAGGAGCTGGAGCTGATAGAGGGAGCTCATCCGTGCTCTCCCCTCAATCAGCTCCAGCTGATTTGTAGGATAATAACACTCAACTCATAGGTTTCTTGTTATCTTTCAGTGACATGCCTACACACTGCAGCTGACACACAGGAGTGTCACAGAACACAGTTTGGAAAGTCCTGACCTAGATACTCCTAGAGAGAACAGTTTTCTAGGAGTCTCTTGGTCTTCCAGCCCAGCTCTGTGGTTGTCCTCTTGTAGACGTTGACTATAGTGGCACACTGGAGAACTTAGAGATTTTTGCAGGGATCCTGCACTCACAACTCCTGCAAGATTGTATGGGATACTGTAATATTTCAAACATACGATGAAGTAACAAGAGTGTTGTTTTGCAGGGCGGATCATATGGCAGTCAATATGGACAGGTACATTTAAAAAAATATATCATATATTTGGAGTGGTAAAAAAGAAAAAAAAAGAAAATACGTTTTAAAATTATGGATATCGCATTAAAGCATCTTTGTACCTTGCTGATAAAATCTCTTTTGAATTAAATAATAGCTATTTTCTATACAGGGTGGATCTTATGGTGGTGGCAGTCAATATGGACAGGTAAAACAATTTTTAAATAAAAATTAAATTATGGATGTAGGTTACACATGGGTCTTTGAATGTGAGCAGAGTACCGCTCCCATCATCCTCTATCAATACCTTGCCAGTATTTTAAGTTAGTCATGTTGGGTATGTGTGCCATGTTTGGTCCAGATCCATTGTTATTTGGATTCACATTGCTCTCCAGATGTAGGTGTAGTACAACTCCCATCATTCTGGATCATTCCCAGCCCCAAACCCTGCCAGCATTTAAAGTTGGCAATGATGGATATGTGTGCCATGTTCAGTCCAGATCCATAATTGGTGGGGTTCACAGTGCTCTCTGGATGTGGGTGCACTACACCTCCCATCATTCTGGGCCAGTCTCTCCCAAACCCCACCAGTATTTAAATATGGTTATGAAGGGTATGTGTGCCATGTTTGGTTCAGATCCATCATATGGTTTTGTGATATGCTTTGTTTAGAGGAGGTTTGCTTTTGCCTTCCTCTGAGGCTGAGAGAGTATGACTTGCCCAAGATCAACCAGGCCCTTTCACCGTTGCCATATAAAATCCAGATTATCTGCTTTGAACTGGATTATATGGCAGTGTAGAAGGGCCCCCAGTGAGTTTTCATGCCTGGTTAGGATTTCAAATCCTACTCTCCTAGTGTTCTAGTCTGCCATTTAAACTACAACACAGTACTAGCTCTCTGCTAATAAATCTACCACAGTAGCACCCAGTATTGGAAAATATAGCAAAATAAGGACATTTGAAAATGTGTGGTGTTCTTTTAAACATAGACTGTGACTTAGGAAAGATTTATCGATGGATATTTAAAAATGTAATGAACATTTTCTGCACAGGGCTCATATGGTCACGGCTCATATGGACAGGTAAGAAATTTTAATATACGGTATATAAATTCAGTCGCAATATAGAATAGGAATATCTATCTGTGTGTCTATCTATGTGGATATATAACCAGCATTTCTCCCGGAAGTAAAGCCCAATAATATTAAATGAAGAAAGAATGTGAAATCTATATCTATATCCACAATAAAGGTGAAAATATGTATGTATGAGTGTGGCTGGGGTGCCCACTTATACAGACTTGGGTATGGAATACAGAAGAAGTTGTGATTGTTGTGTTGTTGGATACAGAACAGGGTTTCATGTAGATATATAATGGCAATCCCATTCTAATCAATAACTGTTTCCTGTACAGGGTGGATCATATGGGGGCGGCAACCAATATGGACAGGTAAAATATTTTATGGCAAATATTTAATCTATATACCATGGGAATATAGAGCATAGCAGATTAAATTACTCTTACTTCAGCTCCTAAATACAGAAAGGCTAGAAGTACCAAAACGTTGCAGTAATGTAATGTCTTAATAATGACAACAAAAAATAACAAATTTTTGTCCTTTTTTGTGTGCACAGGGTGGATCATATGGAGGTCATTATGGACAGGTAAAGATTCTTTTAGTATGTTGCATATATATTCAGAGTGAGAATGCAGAGGAGTACTTCTGCCCAAAACTTGAAACAATCTGAAATTGGATACTGAGAGTTCTCTTTGGAGCCCGGAGCTAGAAGAAAGTTTAGAGAACTGTATAGCAAAGGCATTTGTCTATCCCTTTCTAGCCAGCCAAAGTCAACAGTTTCACATCCTCTCAACCTGCCATCATTGAATGTTTTCAGCCAGAAAATTGGAATGTTTTCCCAACGCCTTGAGACTGGGTGGATCTCTGTTTTAAGACTATTTGGGAGAGTGGCACTTTGGGGACTCCAAAATAGCCCGTCCCCCCAAACTGAGAGGCCATCTATCCACTCCTATGTTACAGCCCAAAAAAAGACAGGCTTCTTCTCTCCCTCTTCAAATGTTTTGCTTCTAGTTTTGCAAATATATTCAGCTGTTATTGACATTCCATGATTTCCAGGGCTAATGGGAATGCTCAGGTCTTAATGGGACTGTTTTTTTTTTAAATCCCTCTTCCTCATAGTAAAGGTAAAAGTTTCCCCTTGACATTAAATCTAGTCATGTCCAACTCTGGGGGGTGGTGCTCATCTCCATTTCTAAACTGAAGAGTCAAGGTTGTCCATAGACACCTCCAAGGTCATGTGGCCGGCATGGAGCACAGTTACCTTCCTGTTGAAGCACTACCTATTGATGCAAACATTCAATGCCTTGATACAAATGAGGCAGAAATTCAGAGACAAAGACAAAAGCAAAGGCTCCCCATTTCATTTCCGGCTTCTGGAGGCAGTGCTCAACTCTGGCTCAGGGGGAAGTGTTTATCTCCATTTCCAAGTCAAGGAGCCTGCATTGTTCATACACACTTATTGGTCACATGGCCAACATGATTGCTTGAGCTCCTGGTTGCCTTCCTCCTGAAGCGGTACCTATAGAACTACTTGCATGGCTAGAAATGGGAACCCGTTTCTTTTTAGAAAGCTAATTTTCAAATTCTGTCAAAAACAACTTTTTCAAAAAAAATAATGGTTGTTTTTATAGGGTGGATCTTATGGTGGCAACACCCCTTACGGACAGGTAAATATTATTTAAATGTAAATTTAATCTATGGATAGCATATTTAATCTATGAATAGCAAGACTGTGAAATGCTACTACACTGTAACTCCCATCATCCTTAACTAGACTTAGCATTGTGAGACATGTTGACAGTAATAATTCATCAACGTATCTGGACAGCTAAACATTTCCCCACTCCTCCTTACTAATATAGTATATACAGATTGAGCAGACCTTATCTAAAATGTTTGGGATTGGAAGTGTTCCTTATTTTGATTTTTTTTCTCCTTATTTTGAAATACTTACATGTACATAATGAGTTATCTTGGAGGTGGGATCCAAGTCTAAGAATAAAATCATTCATGTTTCATATATTGTGATTTTATACACAATATTTTAATAACTTTGTACATGAAATAACGTTTGTGTTGATTAAACCATTAGAAAGCAAAGTTTTTGAGATATCATCAGAGATTCAGGGTGGAGAGTAGACATATGCATTCGGGGAAAACCTTGCCCCCTTTTTGTGTCCTGGCTTTTGTTGGGGGTCCCAATCAGTTTTTTGTATGCCTCCCGAAATTGGGAGGGTTGTTTTAGGTTCTTTTGTTTCGGGGCCTGAAAATCGGACCATTGTGGGTGGAGGGGCTTCCCACCCACTGGCTCCCTTTCCCAGAGTACGCTCTTCTTACCTGGCACCTGCTGTTTCTACTCTAGAGTAAGAAGGGCTCGGCTGCAGAAACTTGCAGGTGTGCACGCTTTCCAGTCTGCCTGCACACCCTGCCACACATGCACCCTCCTGGGAAAGAGAGTGCCTGTGAGGCGGGGTGTGCAGGCAGGCCCGGAAAGCATGCATACCTGCCAGTTCCTGCAGCTGAGCCCCTCTTACTCTAGAGTAAGAGGTGCTTAGCTGCGGGCATGCTCTGGGTCTGCCTGCACACCCTGCCACACATGTTCCGCCACATGTCCTGCCACACCAGGCCTGCTTGGCTGCATGCCCCACCACACATGCACTCACTTTCCAAGGAAAAGAGGCAAGTTTGGATGCACACAAAAGCAGGTTGTAGGCAGGCTTTAGTGTTGAGCAGATTTTCCTATGGGGATGGGGCTTCCCATTTTGTGCTTCTAAATAAATGGAAGACATGAAAGAAACTAGAAATTGTAGAAACAAATTTTGCGCACATGTCTAGTGGAGAGTCAAGTTCACCTTTCCATCTTTTTAATCATAGATTCCATTATCTCGATAGGGACATTCATTTGGTGCTGTAATTTGAATAATGGCAATGTGAAGATGATTCCATTAATTATAGCTATGAATTGCTAACATTAATGCATTTTCATTATTGCTCCTTCAGCTGACAATTTTGTTTTCATAAGATTTTTTTAAAACCCTGATGTGGTTTTTTTAATAATTAGGCTTTAGTAAATCAATTAGATTTGCTATTAAAATTTGTTTCTGGACAGTTTAGAGATATTTAAAAGCATGCAAAGATGTCAGATAAATAATGTATTGTTGTTGTGTGCCTACATGTTATTTCCAACCTATGACAACCCTAAGACAAAACTATCATAGGGTTTTCTTACCATAATTTAGTCAGAAGAGCTTTGCCTTTTCTTTCCTCTGAGGCTGAAAGAGTATTACTTGCCTAAGGTGTTTTTCATGGATAAGTGAAGATTAGAACCCTAATCTCCAGAGGACAATGCTATAAACCAGTGTTTCTCAATCTGGGGGTCGAGACCCCTGGGGGAGGTTGTAAGGGTCAGAGGGCTCTCCAAAGACCATAAGAAAACACAGTATTTTTTGTTGGTCACGGGGGTTCTGCATGGGAAGTTTGGCCCAATTCTACTGTTGGTAGGGTTCAGAATGACTGTTGGTGAACTGTAAATCCCAGCAATTACAACTCCCAAATGAGAAAATCAATCCCACCCCAATCCCACCAGTATCCAAATTTGAGCGTATTGGGTATTTGTGCCAAATTTGGTCTAGTGAATGAAAATACATTCTTCATATCAGATATTTACATTACAATTTGTAACAGTAGCAAAATTACAGTTATGAAGTAACAACTAAAATAACAACAACTAAAATAACTAACAACTAAAATAACTAACAACATCAGAAACTGTATTAAAGGGTCGCGGCATTAGGAAGGTAAAAAACACTGCTATAAACAATATACTATGTTGGTACTCCAAATAAATAATGGAAGATGGTTTTAAAAATCATTTTTAAAATCCAAAATAAGATAAGAATCACAGCTAAGACATATAATGTCAACACATATTTCAACAACAATCCCTTTTCCAATAGTGATTGTTTTCTTTCTAGGGTGTGCATAGTGGTTCATATGGCAGCAACCAATATGGACAGGTAAAAATACTTCTAATGCATACTAAATAAGTAATACACACAGTTGTTAAAAAAAACTTTATGCCAAGCATAAGAATCGAATTAACTTTCATTCTAATTTTGTTCTGCTTAAGTATAGAAAATAGCTTACTGAGAGCATGTCTTTATTTTAAAATGTTTGTCTCTGTGGGTGCCTCTCCCCAGAATGCCCAGCAGTCAAGAATTCGGGCCAGCCCAATTCTCGCCATTCCCATGGCTTTCCAGACTGTGATCATCAGCCCTTATAACCATATGCAAGGTTGCTTCAGGAAACCTGTCCTTTGATCGCCTTTAGGCTGATGTTTTGGAGAAACAGAAGCTTTATGGAGTTCCACTGAATTCCCCCTCTTTTGATCTCTTCACATGGGCTGCCGGAATTGCCACTTGTCATGGTAAATCTGGTGACTACCGTGGAGGGCATGGGGAACCCGTCACCCCACACCTTGCATTGCCCGACTTGCCAGGAAGCTGATCGCACGAGAGGAAGTGTCGACCGTGCAGCTTCCTCCATTGCTTCCCATGCAACATAGGAAGCCTCCTGTGTTGCTGCCACAGCGGCATACACCACCTCCACTCTAGTTGACCCAAGGAGCCCCACTAGAAGTTCTTCTGCATCATGAGATTGGAGCCAGTGGGTTCCGTGGGTCAACTAGGGCTAAACCGGCATATGCCACTGAAATAAGTTCTGTCTGATGAGGTCATTTGTGTCCATCTCCATGATGAAGATAACAGAAGTCTCTAAACCAGGGCTTCTTAAACTTTTCCACTCCTGACCCCTTTCAGCCTGAGAAAATTTTTATGTGACCCCAGGTATATAGGTATATAAAATAGGCATAACAATTAAACTTTTCAAGATAACAAACCATTATTTGCAAAGCTGTTTTTCCTTTTTATGGCATAAAGCTGAAATATGTTCTGCAGATTGTAAACACTGTGCAGCACATTGCCCTGGTAGTGCAAAGGGTCAAACCCTTGTCCCCTGTGGGGACATGAGAGAAGCCTCCCACAGGTTGGTAAAACATCCAGGCATCCCCTGAGCAACATCCTTGCAGACAGCCAATTCTCTCACAACAGAAGCAACTTGCAGTTTCTCAAGTCCCTCCTGACACAAAAAAGCACATTAGTGCTAGATGTCTAGAACAGACGCTAGGTTACTACTGCTGTTTTTTTCGGGACCCAAACATTGAGCGGAGGGAATCCCATTTGGGGTATGGATGTACAATTTAAGAAGCTCACAGTTTGGCAGCCTACCTCCTTTGTGGGAAAGATATTCTAAACTGAATCACAGGGGGTGTTTCTACACTATAAAATGAATGCAGTCTGACTCTACTTGAACAGACATGACGCAATGCTATGGAATCAAGGGAGTTGCAGTTTTACAAGGCTTTAGCCTTTCTGTTGAAGAGTGCTGGTGCCTCACCAAACTACATATCTCAGCATTGTGCAGCATTGAGCCCTGGCTGTTAAAATGCCGTCAAACTGCATTCATTCTATAGTGCAAATGCAACCTGAAATATATATGATTAAATTAAATAAACAGGTGGCACACTAATATCTGTTCTTGAATAATAAAATTGGTTTAATGCAGATGTTGTAAAGATGTTCCAATGTGTTCTTGTAACAAGAAACAATTCACACACATCCTCCCCAATGTAATTAATATTTTCTGTATAGGGAGGACAGAGTGGATCATATGGAGGCCAATATGGACAGGTAATTAAAAACTATTCTGAATATGATATACATTAAAGTATGTGCAGAAAAAAATAATTTGGGATCAATTTCTATTCTTTAATTTGAAAAATACCGGGATGCAAATGTACTAATGCAATATGTATTTTGGGAACAATCTTTTTTTGAAACAATAACTTTTTTCTGAACAGGGTGGATCATATGGATGGGACAGTCGCTATGGACAGGTAAAAAAATTATACTTATTCTATTCTCAAAGAAAGAAAGTTGCTTTATGCTCAGCAACATTAAAAATATATATTCACTGTTTTCTTCACAGGATGGATCCTATGGGAGCAGTAGCCATTATGGTCAGGTAAACACTCTATGCTTATTCTAAAGCGGTATTTTCTAGCTATTTTCATTCTCAAAGGAAGCAACAAGAAATTTTTGCAATTTTTCTCCCAATTCAAAATGTACACATTTGGGACTTAGTGTACAAATTATATATATTGTTTTACTGAAAATAGCACTTTTCCCCCTCACTAAACAGCATTTTCAATACAGAAAACAAAACGTATATGTGTGGAGACATTACTTTTGTTACAGAAAAGCTGGGTTTTGCACACACACAAAATCTTGCTTGTGCAAGTTTTGCACAGAATTAGCCACAAACTGCAAAGATTTTCTTCAGTCCAAGTTTTATCTCATCAGGGTTTCCCAACGTGCAGAAAACACTTCTTGACCACTTTTCAAATGTTTTCATCTCTTATTTCCATCTCTCATGTGTATTCCGTTCTCAAACTCAGAAAGAAATGTGCACAACAATTGTTTTTAAAGTAGCATTTGTTTTCTGTTCAGGGTGGATCATATGGAAGCAACAGCCAATATGGACAGGTAAAACATGTAAAAACATATAATAGGTACCATATCTCATAATAAAAAGTATGTAGGGGAAAATATAGAGCAAGTGCCTATTCTGGTCTTAAATATAGAAAATATTTTGCTTATGATTCGATAATATAAATGTTGAAGTAATAAATGATTTTTGTAGTGGATGCCCAGGGTGGATTGTATGGCAGACACCACCAATGTGGACAAATGAAACCCTTTATTGTACATGTCAATAACATATGTCCTAGTATAAGCCAGAACATATGGCTTATACTAGTTGGAAGGAGGCTTATCCCAGAATGGTGAAGGCAGATATCTTTCTGCTTGGTCCATGAGCCATTCATGTTATACACAGAGATATAGAAAATAAAATTAAGATAAGCTCTTATTCTTATTTTATGCTTGTACCTTGAAGCATAAGCCTAAGCATAAAATAAGCTTTCTAGTCTGGGAGACTATATGATTTATAGTCTGAGAGGAAGGCAGACTACTTATAAATTTGACAGTCAGTCAGTCGTTCGTCTTGAATCTACAAAACAGTTTTGTGCAAATATACTAAGATAGTTGTTTTGTACATTCATAATTTTTTTTTCTGTATAGGATGGTCAAAGCGGATCATATGGCAGCCAAAGTGGGTCATATGGCAGCCAGAGTGGGTCATATGGCAGCAACCAATATGGACAGGTAAAAATAATGTGTTGTATAATATATATTTATATTTATACTAGCTGTCCCCTGCCACGCGTTGCTGTGGCCCAGTCCATTGATCTGGAAAATAAAGTAATGAGAAAGTGTTGGTTTCTTATATATGTAATTTTTTTAACTTGTGGGTAAACAGTATTTCTTGCTGTTTCTTTGTCAGTGTTGATGTGGAGAGTGTCTGGTTTCCCCACCCTGGAACATGCAAGATATCATTGTCCTTCTTTAAGGGTCTCTTTAAAATCTATGATACTATGTGTGTGTGAATCATATCTATCATCTATCTATCTATCTATCTCTATTCCTGGATTGCTCTTTGTCAGGACTTTGATTATGTTTTCTTGCCCTGATGAAGGGAGTTGGATTGCATGGCCTTAAGTATTTTCTGCTGGTCCTGGGGGTTCTGTGTGGGAAGTTTACCCAAATTCTGTCGTTTGTGGGTTCAGAATGCTCTTTGATTGTAGGTGTACTATAAATCCCAGTGATTACAACTCCCAAATGTCAAGATCTATTTCCCCCAAACTCCATCTGTGTTCATATTTGGGCATATTGAGTGCTTGTGCCAAGTTTGATCCAGATAGATCATTGTTTGAGTCCACAGTGCTCTCTGGATGTAGGTGAACTACAACTCCCAAACTCAAGGTCAATGCCCACCAAACCCTTCCAGTATTTTCTGTTGGTCATGGGAGTTTTGTGTGCCAGGTTTGGTCCAATTCCATCGTTGATGGAGTTCAGAATGCTCTTTGATTGTAGGTGAACTATAAATCCCAGCAACTACAACTCCAAATGAAAAAAATTATAATTTTTTGAGTGATGGTCACTCCTTGTGTTGTGAGACGTTTTGTTGCCAAATTTGGTGTGATTTTGTTCATTGGTTCTTTTGTTTTTAAGGTACTAATTATGCACAGAGCATTTTTATATATATAGATATGCTGAACTTGCTAACCGAAAGGTTGGCTGTTCAGATCCGGGGGGTGGGTGACCTTCCACTGTTAGGTCCAGCTTTTGGCAACCTAGCAGTTCAAAAACATGCAAATGTGAGTAGATCAATAGGAGGGTAACGATACTTCATGCAGTCATGCCGGCCACATGCCTTAGAAGTGTCTATGGACAATGCCAGCTCTTCAGCTTAGAAATGGAGATGACCACCCCCCCCCCCCCAGAGTTGGACACAACTAGACTTAATCTCGGGGGAAACCTTTATCTTGACCTATAATATATATTTATTTGGGGGAGAAAGGTTATGTAGGATATATACAAAGCTAGAAAACATAAAATGGCTTTTTCTACAGAGCTCCAGAATAAATAATTTACAGATTATCCTAAATGAGTTCAGCGAGAAGTGGCAACTTCATCCAATTTCTTCCATTTTGTGTCAGCCAGAGCAAAAGATGTTGGGGGTATTGCCAGGTTCAGCCAAGCAGCTATTTTTATTTTAAATTATCCCTCTCTCTAAAGAGGTGGGGGTGGGGGTGGCTTTATCGATTCCAAGATAGAATAGCTAAGGTGTCTGATTTGGGCCTCTTACAAAAAAGCAACTCTGGATTAATCTCACCCTTGGACTAACTAGAGTCCCTTTTCAAACGGAGGGTCTATGTGCCAGAAGGAAAGTGTTTTTACCCCCATCCTAATCCTCCAAGTGACTAATTTAGCATTAGGATAGCTCTGCTCATGAACATGTGAGAAAGATGCAATATTGCATTTTGACAGCAGAAAACCATTTTTGAAATAAATGTTTTCTGTACAGGGTGGATCATATAGTGGCAGCAGTCAGTATGGACCAGGTGGATCATATGGCGGTGGCAGCCAATATGGCAAGGTAAAATCTCACATTATTTTCCATATTGTATACATGAAAATAGATATTTTAAATGAAGTCCTGGCCCCTAGATTTTAATTTGAAGATATTCCCAGTCTGAGCATCAGTTTTCCCAACCTCTCCCTAGCATTTATTTAGTCCATTTTAAAATATAAAGATAAAATTATATGTGGATTTTTTTTACTATAGTTTTAGAAAAAGGAACTTCTGGTTTTTGATCATAGAAATCCACATTTTCCTGTTTGCTAGATGTGACTGCAGGTAATTGTTAAATGGCACTGAGGCACCCACAAATCAGATCCTGAAAATCATTGTCATCCTTATCTACATATTATATCAAATTGCTGGATTTACAACCGAAGAGAGAAAAATGGGGGCAGCACCAAATGCAAGAAAGAAAGTGTGCAGGAGTGAGGATTAAAGTATTTATTTATTTATTTACTTTGCTTATATAACGCAATTCTCAGCCCGGGGGCGACTCACAGCGGTGTACAACATAGGAGAACAAAATTCAAGAAACAATATAAAAAACAATTCACCATCCGGCATTATACAAAAACATCATCATTACTGCGAAAACCATTCAGCGTCGTCTCATCGTCCAAATCACAATCCAGTATCAATTAAAGTGGTAACAAAATCATATACAATTTAATTAAGTGTTAAAATGCAAAACACATCCATGGACCACCAGTGGTCTGCAAGAACAAAAATATAGTCCACCAATACTATACAGTTGCCTCGAAACTACGCAGCAATGAGACTGACTGGTCTCGCGAAACCCTCTTATAGTGCCCAGGCAACGGGGATGCCGGGAGGGGAGAAACTAATACCCACGAAAGATTGCTACTACCACATCAGCTCTAGATTATTAAATATGGTTTTCTGTGGGTGAGCAAATGGCAACTACTGGATGGCATATGTTCTGCATCAGAAACTAGAGCTGGTGTGGTGTATGCAGGTCAAGTGGTCCCTGGTCAAAAAAAGGTCGGGAGCCACTGATATAATCGTATATATATGCGGACCGGTTATAATTAAATGATCCATAATAAAACAAGATCAAACATAATCTTAGAAAAAAGAAACATTCTGCTCAAATCTCTAAAAGAAAGGAAGGAAGCTGAGAATTTTGGCTAGATTATTCCCCAAATGGTAGAAATTGCTTAACTCATGTGCAGCCAGAGCATAAAGCAAGTTTATTTATATCCCCAACACACTCCCATCATTTCTAGGAAATATACAGTTTTGAGGAAATCAGCCTTGTGTTACAACAGACATGGGGACATGTGGCCATCTGGATGTTGTTACACACCAAAAGCTCCCCAGCTCTCTGTTACAAAATTTCTTTTCCATACAAGCTTCCCTACTAGTTTTGTAACATCTGTAGAAAATATAGTTTTTGCCTTCACGCTTATTATTCTAGAGAGAAACCTTACCTTGCAGAAAGAAAGTCTATGCCTCTCTGTGTCTGTCAGTTTTTGTTTCAACCTTTTTCAGTGCCTGAAGAATAGAAACCATATTGGTGTTGTAGCTAGTAGGAAAAGATGATGTTTGACTAGAAGTAGAAATTATATCTCATTAGAAGGGAGGGGTTAAAATCTTTATAAGAAACGGACAAGAAAATTCATTTCATCTCTCAAATGGTAGAGTGTCGTTCTGAGGATGATTTGGTGAAATGATATATATGAGATATTGTACTGTCTTTGTTAAACTGGATTCAAGCATGTTTAAAATGTGGTGTCTATATCTCTATGTAGATATGTCAAGTCTGCTCATGCATGGTTCTGAAGTCATGCCACTCCATAGTAGTCCAATGAGGAAGAGGAACAGAATCCAAGAA